TTTACTGGTATTACTGTTGAGAATGAATGGCCATTTGTAAAGTCAAAAGGTTTCTCCGTAACCTGTGAATCACTGTCCGATACGAACCAAGAAAATTTTGGACTGCAACAAGTTCCGCTGGAAAAAATTAAAAATATTCATCGTTTCTTTTCTTTTCTTAATTTATGAATGAAGGAGATTCAAATGAGACAGCAACACAACTTAACAATAACCAAAATATATGTAGTTTACTTGCAGTTTGAAATGGAGAAAAGCTGAAAAGACAAGCATACAAAAAAGAGGAGTAAAATGGTACGTTATACCAAGGGGACATTGAAAACTCAAAAGTCGAGATAAACTGATAATTCAATGGCAAAAAATGAAAGACGACGAAATTACAAACAAGTTCACAAAACACTAAATATAAAATTAAAGAAAGAGCAACATGAATCCCCAAAAATATTTAGGGGTGATCTCAGGTGCTCCCTGATGGTAAGCAGATCCTGCTCAACTAGCGGCACCCGTCGTGTTGCTGATGATAAGTACACATTCATTGATGAATCTCATTCCGAGATGTTACAAACGAGAAAAAGAGGACGACATTGTTGTTACGATAATTGGAACAAATCAGTGGTAATATGTAACACAGATATTCAAAATCAGTCAATTTAACCAACTCGTGATGGTGTTCGTAAACCTTTCGATGAGATGACTTCAATTTTACCACTTGGAATGGTTCAATAGCTTCATTGTAAGCCGCAATCCTACATCAAGGAAATCATGATAGGAAACGCAACCTCTGAACTTGCTAATATTGTTAACATAAGTAGTACTGTGAAGTAACGCACAATAAAAACGGTGCGTCTACATATATTTAATGTCGATCCTGTCTTAAGATTCATGAGGACTTCTACAGAATATTGTAGAATTGTACATTTAGTTCGAAATCTTACCTAAAAGAAAGTACGTATTTTCCACTGCTATTACTCATTTTGAGATCTAAACGTGGCTTTGTGTAGTATAAATTCAATGATGATGTTTCAACAGTTGCTGTTATATTGATAAATTCTTTTGAACAGTTGAAATAATTCAGAACAGAAGGAATGCAATCCGAACTTTTATAATTAATAATTATGGTTGGTGGAATTTTTTGTTGTACCTGAAAATAATTACAGTAAAGACATTTATTTCAAAATATAAATAAATCATAATATGAGAATGATATCTACATGCAGTTATGTTTTTCTTATCTGCTTTCGGCCATTTCAAACATTGCGTTCATATAATGCGCTTCGCACGCACGAAATATATAAAAAGTGTTTATATTTTCAATTTTTAGACAATAATATGTTTACAGTATAAAGTGACAGCTCTATATAGCCATTGATTTGAACTTGTGTAAAACGAAGTCTATCCTACCAGAAGAAAAGAGGTAATTTGGCTAAGAAATCTCACACAACTATTTAGATTGTGGCTAGATAACACATTATGACAGCCTTCATATATTTTTCACTATCATTGATGAATAAATGTTAGAATGTATGCATCATAGATGTCCTCAAACATACGACATTGGTCGTTGTCTTCAGCATTATTTCTTCTATTCATAGTATGTCCGGAATACGCAAAAAATATTTGCCTCCGTACGTTAATCAAACAACAATCATTGCGCTTCCGGATTTTGGTGCATCCAAAAAAGGTCTTTGGACACAAGAAATTGATAAAGCGCTATTTTTTATATTTTTTTATATGCTACCTGATTCAACCACATATAATCCTGTTTTGCTATGGGAACCAAAACCAAACTATTTTTTTTTAAACGCCTGAGGATCACTTATTTCAAATGTGGTATGAAATTAAGTATACAGTTCATTTTGTGGGCTATTTTATAGACTGCAGTACAGACTATTTTTTCTTTCCCATTTTGATATTGATTTTTTATTGACAGCGTCTGATAATTGTTCACATTGTACTATCTAATAGACCTTCTACCACATTTAACATATAAATGGGCGGTTTATCTAGTATAAAACCAGGGTTGTTTTCCACTTGTTTCGTTGGTTGATATAGCCGAGCGTTTAGTTTTATCTGGCTAAAAGACCTCACCTTTTTGAATTCACCTTGGAATTCGGTATTTTTGTCAATACTTTTTTATAAATAGTTTAAAAAATATTAAAATATTTAGTTTATTTTTTCTTGATATGAAATTCTGTATAATTTTACTTTTGGCATTGCAATATCGAGTTGATCTTATAACCTATGGCGTTGCTGTATGGAAGCTAAGTCGACATATACCAGCCAATATTAAGGTGTAAGAACGAGTTTTTCATAGCAGCATGTTAAGTATTTTTGAACGAAAAAAAAGGACTATGGTGCATTAAAACGTCGATACTTTGAATTTGAACTTATACCGACTTGTTGTTGGCTGTGCACATTATTTTCTTCAAACATTTTGTTCTAACATGAGTAACATTGAATCATGACACAAAATCCCAATAAACATTTGACGTATCCAAAAGCAAAGGAGTAGCGTTTGTATTGCAATTCATCATTGTATTGTCACACTGAGGCATTCAACATAGAAACAGAGCTCATACGTCGCTGCAAGTTGAAGACAATACTTAATATCTGTTTAAGCGGAATTGACCTTTCTTTTTTGTAACTTCCGAGCATTCTTAAAACGGTATAATTTATGGTAGTTGATTTTACTTGCTCCTGCCTTTGTGTCGGCTTTTACAGGTTGCACTTTGTAAATACAGCTGTTTCACAAACCACACCTCTTTTGGGGAGATATATGATATTCATAGATATTTTGTTTTGTTTACGTACTGGGTCCCAGTTATGATCTCTATATTTCATCTTATAGAAACATAACTTGGGAATGTTACCAGTATATATACACATGGTTGCGGGGAAGTTTGAATTCTGAGGGTCACCCGAAGTGAAGGTAGGGGTAGAACAGAATTTAAGTTTAAACTCTTAGAAGTTCGGGCATATAAATGTTGAAAATATGCCCCACAGCCCTATGTTTTGACCTTTGAATAAAATAGTAGTGCATATCAACTTTCCATTCTAGGATATAATTTTTCACGAAACTTCTTAGTAAAAGTGGCACAGTTTTAGAGTAAAGGGAGCTCCTATGGGAAATTGCATTGTCTATATTTACAGAAATGCAACATACATCGGTATTTTAGAAATAGATGCCTTTTCGGTACTGATTTTTATTGTACATTTGTGTTCAATGTAAATTTTGTTATTCCAATAATCGAGAAAAGGAATTTGCGTTGAGTGTTCAATTTATTTAGTTTAACATTACCTTATGTCCAGGTGCCTGTCCAAAGTTAGAAACCGCCTTATTTTCCTCATAGTTTTTTCTTTAAAGACTTATTTGATAGCAGATGGATGATGGGGTCTTTTAAATTTATCCACAATTTTTCTAGATTTTGTACGATTGATAGCAAGGCATATTGTTTGGACATTACGTACTTAAGATTGATGAACCAGAGATATCTTTTTTATTTTTTTAATCGTAATGTGGATGTCTCATGGCCGTATGCCTTATTTTAAGTTTATTCGACCAGTGTACCCCCCTTGACTAGTGGAAAATCAAGAGGCAAAAAGTACCTCCCCTACAAACACTGAGAAATTTAAAGTCTTTAATGATCTGCAAGTTCTCAACGAGGACGCTACATGTTATAAGTTCAAAAAAAAAACGTTCTGGTAAATAATAATAATGAAAACAAATAAAATTAAACTGAAACTACAATATCATGTCATCTTTAAATTTCCTTCTTAGTGTAGCAATCGTTGAGGACAGAGAATTAATTATATCAGTTTTGTATATGGGAAAACATTCCTCGCGTACGAACCTCTATTTTTTTTCTATTGGCTGTAAACGACATTTGCACATGTCAATTCTCCGTGTAGATATGCCACTAGTCCAGAGAGATTTAAGAAACACATATCAACAAACTCGATTAATATGCAACAAAAATTAAACTTTTGAATTTAAGTCACAAGGCAAATTCTAACTGACCTTATTCCGATGCCATCATCAATGCGAATATATCGCAAAGACCGTGCATGCATGCAAATAAATTAATTAATTTCTTTAAAAATATTAAAATCTTTTATTCTTGTGAAAATAATTTCCTTTAATATTTCAACCTGAGCAGACATAACTTGAAATCCCTATCATAAAAGGAGTTACTGTTCTACTGTCATCGCTTCATCAGTTCACACACTGTGATTTGAAGAACTGTCTGTAGTGAAGTACATTTATTCAAATATAGAGTAATAAGAAAATAAATATGTTAAGGTATTATTTATTGTCTACCATAAATACGGTTTGCAGTTGTTGAATTTCCTTTCCTCCTAGCAAAAGACTTGTTGTCAATATACTGAAAAATAAAATAAAAGAAGATTAAATAAATATCGTAAAAACCCTTATATTAGTTGCAATAATAAAGGAAGGCATTGTTTAAAACTAAGACTTTACAGAGGATAAAAAATATATATCATACTTTTAGAGATACAAGTATTTGAAACAAAATTTGTCAAGATGATACCTATTACACCTATTAAAGAGTTAATGACGTCTGAAAAAAATCCCAGTTTCTTTTAAGTAAATAAACAGTTTACCTGTTGAATATGGACAATGACGAGTGTATATGCTAAAATAAACTCACTAACAAAATTATAACCTGGTATCTTTGATAAAGTTTTTTAAAAACATATTTATTTGAAATAAAAGAAGGATAGAATATCTTAAATGTAAAAACCGTTTTCTTTTAAATTTCTTTAAAACTTGATTGTTTCCAAATCCCCCCCCCCCCCAAAAAAAAAAAGATTTTCTTTTGTTCAAACCCGAAAGAAAATGTATACTACTATTACTTAATTCGAGATTCCATTCATGACTGACGACCCTTTTGAGGACTTGCTGGGACATTGGGACCACCCTAGCAAATCCCCCATAACCAATCTGGTACTAACTTATACTGAATACAACATCTTACGTAGTTTTATGTGTGCTTCTTCCACGAAATGTCAAGGAAACCATTTTGGACATTCCAGCTCTAACCGTAGCAGGTACAGTAGAATCTGTGAATCCTGCAGTGTCAGTAAAGTGGACCTGGTACGTTTCATCAGCAGACCCTTTATTTGTGATGTTACAGATGACGGTCGTGTCTTTATCAATATACAGGTTTCCTGATTACAAGAAGGACATGTGATATTACATACACTACTTTCGACACTTTTTCAAATATGGATAAAAGAGACCGAGTCTATTTTAATTGGTTGGACAAGGTTATTGGTATCATAAAATCATTTCTTGTGTAATTAAGTGGAAAATGTTAATTGAAAGCTTTCTATAAGTGAAAAAGATAGCGTACTTAGTTTATCTCTCTGAGTATCATGCACACTTTGAAAAGTAAATAAGATATTGAACTTGTTTTCAAAATGCAAACTTAAGGAAAACTTTCAAAGATATCTTTGAATTATCAATTGATAAAAGTTATTAAAGAAATATCTTAAGTTTTATTGATTGTCGATCTATTGTAAACTTTGTCGTAGTTCAAGAATCTTCGAGACAATTTAGGAAAAAACAATCCGTATGTTAAAAGATGATAATCTTTACATTGGATGAACCTATATGTCATTTTTTGTCAACGCATAGCTTCTTAAATGTCGCTTGCTTACGTATAATGTAAATACACACATGAATGTTATTTATCTTCTTACCGTCACTTTTAATTATTTGAAGGGATACAGATGCTGGATGTATGAGTTCTTTTGATTGACGCCTGAAAACATTCCCTTTCTCTGTGCCTTCTATTGCTATTTTAAAGGCCTGAAAATAAACGGGTTCGGTAAATTGATGGTTATATCTGCATACAATTATAATAATAAAGTGAAACAATTTTGCATAAATTCAATAACTTTAAGACTAGGGGCGATGTGTAGCTTGATTTTTTGTATAGAAACCTGTCTATTGTTGGAGTCGTTATGCCGTTGATTTTTTGTGTCATTGGTTTAATGGTTTATCTCCTTATACTTATATCAACCACAATTCATTCCAGAGATTTTGTTCTCACTAGGGCTATTTTATTAACAAAGGTATACTTTTAGCTCAAAACTACTCCAAAAATGTGAAGTTATTATATTCCAGTTTATATAAAGAGATAAACATGCAAGTGACAACAATCGGAATCGCATGAACTCTAACCGAACAGAATTAGACCTAAGTTCATCGACTAGATTAGCATCTTCTGCAAGAAAGGGATCACCGTTATAATATTGCGAAGGAAGACTTATCAAATATAAAGTGTAAACCAATATGAAGATAGCAAGGGATCAACTAATTAATATGTGGAAGAAGGACAGGTACCACAATGGTCAATAAAAGAACAGAGTTTCAATGTTCCCCGAACATATTTCATCTTTCTAAGGGGCAAAAATTAAAAAAAACCTTCTTTGCTTTTTGTTCTTTTAAACTTTTAACAAATATCTTGCAATTTCCAATATGATTGATATTTCCAAGGGGTATAACACTTTTAAAAATATGTGATCGGCACTGATTTTCGAACTTGATGATGGATGGCTGCTTAACGTCCAGCGGCAAATTAATATGCATTTTCAGGGCGAGAACATGTTAATGTAATATGAATATTAACCATACTTTGTACTAGACTGAGACGCTGAGCCGGATATTTAACGTGCTAGTTGACAAGGTAACAGTCCGCAGGAAGACATGTCACCTTATCGGACACATTATTATGCCTCCGTAATATCGCGTGTTCAGCGGAGAAGCAGCAAATATAAATTTTAAAGTCTTTGGTTTGACCCGGCCGGGCACTCGTGGCAAACACGCTACCAGGAGACCACCGAGGCGGTTTTATAAACCTTTCATATAAGTTTGATAAAAATCTGGCAAAAATTGTACAGACGAGAGCGCTTACAATGTAAAGACGAGAGCGCTTACAATGCAATTTTCCATATAATTAATATTTTCAAGGATCATAATTCTTGTAAAAATATTTGATCGGCACCGATTTTTGAACTTGTCCGAGACATTGCTGATATAAATCTTTGATATAAATTTGAACAAAATCTGGCAAGAATTGTACACATGAGAGCGTTAACAAGCAATTTTCCATATGATTAATGTTTTCAAGGGGCATAGCTCTTTTAAAAATATTTGATCAAAACTGATTTTCGAACTTGTCCGAGACATTGCTGATATGAACCTATAATATAAGTTTTTTTAAAAGCTGTGAAGAATTGTACACATTAGAGCGCTAACAAGACCGGACGGACAGACAGGCGGACAGACGGACGGACCCCCGTATTTCCATGTCACCTGCAACGCGTCCCGCGGGTGACAATAAAAGCGACAAACAAGTGGTTAGTCTTCAAATTACTACCAAAAAAAGCTACAAATAAAATAAAGGAGAAAAACAAGCGCAGACAACACTACAACAAACAATAAAAATTGAATAATACCAATACCACCAAGACAGTTGGTAAACTAGATTGCTCCAGAAGGGTTTAAAGTCATGAAAAAAACGTTTATAATGAAAGATTATGGACGAAAATTGACTATTGAAATATTTGATAGGAAGCTGATAAAATGAAACACTAAATCCATCAATAATCAACCAATTCGCAAAAACGATTGTAGATTTTTTGAAGTAATAATTTCAGTCGTGTTTTTTGCAAAAACGACTTATTAATTTTATTCTTAAGGTTGAGTTTCATGTCGATGTTAAAAGTGTTAATACAGAGGATTGTTTATTTACTTGTTTTTCCTTCTTGATTGTTTGTTACACCACGAGGATTAATTTTTCATTACTTATGTCATATTTACCAATCATAATAAAGTATTCAGAAGAAGCAATGTAAATGTATATATATGTGACAAGCGAACACAAACTTTTAAGCTATAATTAGTAATGGATGATTTTTCATTTTGAAAGTGTATTGTATTTTATTCACAATCCTAAAAACTCATTTTTATTTCTTTAGTCAATGATAACATTTTTAAAAGAGAAGCGAACGATACCAAAGTGACATTCAAACTCATAAGTCGAAAATAAATTGACAACGCCATGGCTAAAAAAGAAAAAGACCAACAGACAAACAACAAACCACAAAACACAACATAGAAAACTAAAGACTGAGCAACACGAACTGAACTAAAAACTGGGGGTGATCTCAGGTAATATATAAGTTATTCCTTTAAATTTTACACATATTTTGTATAGGAATAAACTGATAGTGACATAAAAGATTAGATATACGTTTAACCGTTATACCTTATTAGGAACATTAAATGTTGCTATTCCTTTCCTCTTTCTGCCTTGTGACGACTGAGCCAGACGCATCCGGGTAATTTCTATTCCCATTTCATCCAGGAGTATGCCATATACCAGAGAATCACTAGAGCTAAGATCGGTCACCTTCACAAGAAGAGTAAGGGTAGATCCTTCAATAATAAGACATTTAAACAATATGTACTAAAATGATTTGTCTATTAAGTAAATAAAAAATAGCTTCTTAGTAAAATAACGTGGAATCTCTCTTTATATATATCTATATATCCTACGCTTTCGCAAACATGATCGTTACTATGATATTACTACGTTTTATCAGTATGGTATAACATCTGTTTTTGTTTTCAATTCTGATTAATTTGTTGATCATTATCTTTTTATTTACGTCTACTCGTTCTTTTTCAATAAATGTAAAGTTCATAACTTTCTCTATTCATAAGATATACTTGTACACATTGTTGCACAAAGAGACTAACTCACTTATCTTGCAATTACCTGCAAGTGGTGTTCCATGAATGGAAAGGAGAGAACCATGTACATCTTCTAGGAACTGGTAAGTAAATTCTATGTCACCTTGCTGTTTAACAGTCACTGTCCACGTTTCTGAGTTCATATTTTTCAACGTCCATATTCCTGGCACTGGACTCTGATCAAGAAGAATAAAAACATATAAAAAGAGTTGTTTATAAATAAATGAGAAATTGTTGTTCATCAAATCATTCGAAGATCAACAGTGATACATGGCAACAAAAAAACAAACCTCATCATTGAACGTTTAACACAATGCAAACTAACATTCGTAGACAAACAGAAAAAAGAAGTTTGAGTAGTCTGGCTTAGTGTATGTAATTACTAATAACGGTTGTGTTAAACCTATCTTAGGTGTAAGTAACTACTCTATCAAACTTCATGGCACAAAGAACACATAGATTTAAGTTTTGATAAGAACTAAGTATTACGGGGCGCCGAACAGGACTCTTGTGGTTTTGTACTCGAAATTCAATTCTGTACGGACAAAAGTGAGTTTTGTTCAACAAAAATGAGATCAGTTTAACAAAATTTGTAGCATACTACAAATTTAAATTTTGTCATACAAACTTATCTTACAGTGGACAAAAGTTACTTTTGTCATGACAAAATTCATTTTTGTATCACAGACTTTACTTTTGTTACCTAATTTGAAAACTGGGCGACAAAAGTCAATTTTGTATGCAAATTAGTTTAGTTTGGATTCTGTGAACTAATTTGCATACAAAACTTAGATTTTGTGTTTATTTTTGTGTAGACAAAATTGAGTTTTGTTAAACAGAAGTGAAAATTTAACACAAACGTCAATTTTGTGCCACAAAAGTCAATTTTGTATGCAAATTAGTTTATATTTGCATACCTATTTGACAAAATTGAATTTAGATTGAATTTTGTCATGACAAAAATGAATTTTGTACACAAAAATGAATTTTGTCATTACAAAATTGAAGTTCTCATAAAACAAGTCTGTATCACATAGTTTTGTAAGACAAAAATGATTTTGTTTTGACAGAATTGAATTTTGTGTACACAAAATTGATTTGATTACAAAAAGTTCAAGTCCCATTCGGCGCCCCGTAAGTATCGTAACAATCTCTATTTCTTTTTAAAACAACTACAGAAACGATATCGATGTTAGTGAAGTAAACCGTGAAATTAGTAGAGAAGAAGTTAAGGATGCAGTGTATAAAGCGAAGCTAGGTAAAGCCATTGGTATAGACGAAATACCCAGTGAAATATTACGGAATGATAATTGCATTGACTTGTTACATACACTTGTTAAATTCTGTTTTACCAAAGGAGAAGTGCTTTAGGAATGGCTCATAAGTATAATTACTCCAGTTCCGAAACCCGAAATGGTTCCGTTGAACCCTTAGAATACCGTCCGATTTCAACTATATCTATACCATGTAAAATATATGCAGATATATTAAATAAAAGACTTAATTTTTGGCTTGAACAAAATGGCATTTTAGCGGAAGAACAAAACGGTTTCCGAAAAAACAGAAGTTGTTTAGATCATCTCTTTGTGTTGCAATCTATTATAAAGAACAGAAAACTTAAAAAGAAAGACACATTTGTTTGTTTCATAGATGCAAAGAGGGCATTTGACAATATAAACCGTGATATGTTGTGGCATAAATTAATGAGTATAGACATAAATGGGTTATTCCTAAAGGCTATACAATCTTTATATGATGCTACTCAAAGCGCAGTGAAGCTAGGACATTATTTGACTGATATTTTTCCAGTTAATTTTGGTGTAAAACAAGACTGTAAAATGTCGCCTTCATTATTTTCTATTTATGTGAATGACCTACAATGTAGCTGAAGACATACGTGCTCTAAATGCTGGTGTTGACATTGATGATTTGAATGTTTCAATTTTGCTATATGCTGATGATATTGCACTTATCGCGCAAGACGAAATGAGTCTTCAAAGTATGTTAAACTGTATTCATTCTTGGTGTATGAAATGGAGAATGACTTTAAATGAGACCAAGACCAAAATTATACATTTTCGTAACAAAAAGGTTCCGAGATCAGGCTTTAATTTTAAATGTGGTGATATGCCTATTAGCTTTGACAATGCGTGCAGATATTTAGGATTACATATATCGAATTTATGGAACACAAATATACGATCCGAGAGATAACAAAATCTGCAAGCCGGGCGCTTTCTGCAGTATACACTAAATTTTTATCATGTGGAGGGATGTCATTTGATGTTTATACAAAACTTTATAAAACTCTTATTGAACCCGTACTATTACATGGAGCCGGATTATGGGTACACAACAACTGGAGAGAAGTTCAAACAATTCAGAACAAGCCATGTAGACTCTTTATAGGAAGTTCATCAAATGCTTCGAATATAGCAGTTTTAGGTGATATGGGTTATAAAACAATAGAAACGTACCGTCTATTTTTGAGAGTGCGATATACGTATGACTATAGAATAACACACAAGATCCCTATGTGGGGTATGAATATTTCTCGATCGTGGGACAAGAAATGTTATGAAATAGCACATAAACTTGGTATACATGATATTATTGATAGCAAATATTCCAACAGACATAAAATTTATGATATTAAAACAAAATTGTGTGAAATTAAAAAACAAGAATGGGTTGAAAAATTGTATCAAGATAGAAATGAACCAAATGGTAACAAGTTACGTACCTATAGACTGTATAAAAATGAATTAGAAACAAGTTCCTATATAAAAAATGTAAATGATAGACAACATAACCGTATTTTATCTAATTTTAGAAGTGGGTGTCTACCTTTAGCAATAGAAACAGGTCGTTACTCCAAGCCAAAAACTCTTTGTAATGACCGAAAATGTAAATATTGTACAGCTGATTGTGTAGAAGACGAAAAACATTTTTTAATGCATTGTGAATTTTATTCAGGTCTGCGATATGGTCCATTTTTGAAAGCAAGTGCAATTAACCCAAATTTTAACGATTTTTATCATGATGACAAATTTATTTTTCTGATGTCACATGACTGTATACAACGCTTTTTAGCAAAATCTTTATATTTTATGTTTAATCGCAGGAAAAATTATGTATAGTATGTTCTTTTATTGTAAAAGTTTTATTTATTCATTTTTAATGAATGTTAGAATAAGTCTTTAGGCGAAAGTGTCTCATAAGTCAGTTGTGGCTGGATACCGATATTTTAACTTCGATTGAAATCTTTATTTGTATTTTTATACTTATATTATGATGTATGATATTGTTCTGTATTGGTATGTGACACTATAAAAAAATATTCTGTCTGTCTGTCTGTCTTTATAGCAGTTATCAGCCCTCTCCCATTTAATCTTTATTAGTGGAATGTCATAAATCAGTACAAAAAATACAAAGTCAATAACACCTGTTTAAAATAAAAGAAAGTCACAAAACTAATTTATACCGTAATATCAACTTTATCGGTTGGTATTTAAATTAGGTCATTCCTAAATCAGCTTTCTTTGTGCCGATTTTGAATTAGGAATAAATTGAAAATAACATTTTATTTTCTATTTCAAACTATAAATAAGTGAACTCAGTAAAGTAAAGCAAATATCTCTATAATATCAGTAAAACACGATAACAAAACAGGTACATGTAAAACAATTAAGAAATAATAGTACTGAATTTGAACAGATGCCACCGTCAAATCCAAAATTGACAGTAGCAACTCAAGTACAGTACTGTTATTTTTATTCTAATGCAATACTCTTGAAATGTTCAAAATTTAACATTTCAAGTATCCCGTTAACTTCGACTGCGATTGCGCAACATTGTTGCCAATGACTCCGACCGTCAACTGTGAAATTGGTGGATGACGTCATCCAATCAAAATTGGCGTTACATGCCTAAATGCATTCAAATATTAAATAACACTGTATTAAGGAGTACCCACTGTTTTAGAAATCAAGTTAAAAAAATATGCTTCTTACGTTATACTATCGGCCGATATACTTCCGAGTTAATTTTGTAAAGCAACACACTGTACAGTTAGGAAAAACACTATTATGTATGCAAGGCGAAATTATTTCACAGCAAAAATATGATTATAACCTTTATCTATAAGATTGAGTCTATTCACAAAAAAAAAAAAGAAATATTAGGCATTGAATTTGCATACAATGTACCAGTTTACTTGTATTACCATAAAACTTTGTCTGAATTATAATGTACACTGTATTCTTTTTTAATAAAACTTTGCAGGTGAATTAACAGTTACAATCATCTTAATCTATTATAATCATAATCAAGTAAACGGTTTCACAATTTTTGGCATAATTATGTATTCCTGTTTTGAAATTTTTAGTAGTTAACATATTTCATATTACGCTCGTTGTAATTTGAGACGTCAAAACTAACATGCTCCACCAGCTGGGAAATGTTTATTTTACTCTATAACAACTAATTGCGTTAAAAATTTCGTTACCTGTTTAATTGTCATCAACTTTGTTAGTTTTATTACAAAAAAGTACGACAGTTAACTTAGTACACTCAGAAATTATTTTCAGGCGCACAAAACGTGTTTCTAGAATTACCTTAATTAGTGGTTAAAGTTGCCGCGGGACCAAAGTTTGGAAAGCCAAAATT